AGGGAGTGCTCAAAGAGCGGCTCCCACAGCAAGGAGGGGCCCCGTGAATCATCGCGGTGCCCCCTATCAAATGGTTATCTTACCAGTCTGCGTGACACAAAATCATCCAGCACATGTATCCAACAGCAATGTTCGCAGACTCACGAACAGAAACCACCGGCACCACGGACTTCAAACTGTGCGTCCTCTCCAAGGCTCATCCTCATTACCCTTCACTCACCGATCAGTTCGCCGATAAGTGGGTCAAGCCTGAGTCAGTTGGTGGCGTCTCGGTTGAGAAGATTTTCACGGTGGAGGTGAGCTATGTCAGGAAAATCGGAGACCACCAGTAGTCGGACACGGTTTGACCTTTGAATACGATTGCAGCAACTAGTCTGCGTAGCAGTAGAAAATTATCCATCTCTCCTTGGCATGTATTCTCTTGTTCTAGAAATATTCCGGAAGCATGCTAGGTCAACGTGGACCGGGATATCTATGTAGAACGTGTGTAGCTTTTGGAAGCCTTCTGGAAACTTCTGGTTCCTTCTGTAGCTTCTGGAAGCCTTTCTGGAAACTTCTGGTTCCTTCTGTAAGTTTCTGGAAGCGTTCTAGATCTAGGTTGCAGTTAATACTTTTCTAGAACGTAGGAGGGCTTCCAGAAATCATTCTGGAAGCATTCTGGATTTTTCGTGTGATTGGCTTATTTGTCCGGTGTTCGAGAAGAGTGGTGCAGCCCTAAGCTGTCCCACTCCTCTCACTCCTCTTCAGTACCAGCAACATCAATCTGACTCGGGAGTCAGCAATCAATCTTCATATTACCATTCAAGTCTCTCGCGGTTGGAGCCGCACAGAGTGTGAACCTCTGAGTGAGGTAGGCTACACAGCCTCCTGGCATCTGCAGCATCGTACTGCTGCTAGTGCATCGCGAAATATCTCTGACAAGCTACACAGCGAAGGAGCCTGCCAGAATGGATCGGTGTCACATGTTTCCTCCCAAGGCCTTGTCTGCACATCGTCCTCTCTATGCTCTACGTTTCGATGTTTGCGACTGATACGCAGTGATTTAGGAATCCACGTGTTGCTTTCGCGGTTTTCATTGTCTTCGCCCGAATACCTTCGCGTCTGTTCATTTCAGAAATGGCATTTCAGAAATGGCACAAATTTAGAACAAGGCCGTGAGAAAGACCTACATACCCAACTCGGGGAAAGTGGATCTAGTGTTGATTTCTTGTCGTTTTTGGCTGGAACGTGGACAACATTCGACCAATCGTCCTCCCGCTCCGTGGTCGCTTTCTCCCCAATATTGACTAGAATGAAATAATTGATGACGACGTCAAACATGCGTAGGTTACGAAGAACAGGAGCGTGGGCGACATCCGTTGTTCTTGTTTCGTCTATTGTTGCGGCGTGCTAGTCGACAGAGATCAGTGACTTGGGTAAGAGGGTACATTTCTCCATATTTTAGGCAGATTGTTCGGCATCGCTGAGCCTCTCTGTGTGCTTCCCCGCCTAAGCGTGCAGGTATCGAAATGGAAAAGGTTTCTCTCACATCGGTGTTTGGATTGCCTACACCCCGGAACGTGGGACGACAAGATACAAGATTTTATTACTGTTGCTGTGGTCCGTTAGTATCAAGATTTTTTCCCCATTCCTTTCGATGACGCTCAATGACAGGTGGGCCAAGGGCGGAACTATGACGAGCTTGTGGTTTACAAAGACGAGGCCGCTCTGCCCATACACCTCATTATGTACTCTCGTCGTTGAGAATGACACGGATCTGCTGCTTGTCGTCTCACGCCACATAAAGAAGGAACGTCAACAAATGGCAGAGGTTCATTGTGTTGCCGGTGTTCAAGTTCTCGCACAGAATTACTGTGACCTATTTTAGCAAGCTTACGAACGCATATAGGATACCATGAGGATTGTTTTATTTCAAGTTGAAGAGGAGATATTTTTACGATGAAAGTGACAGTAGAAATAAGTTCTACATATATATGTTGTTGTACTTCGTATGTATTGGTTTACTAATCATGTAGAGTATGAGACATTAAGTGGAAGTTTTCTGAGGTACATCTGCAATTGTCGGAAGGCAAAAAAACAATTACTGTGACCTCGGGGGATTGTCCAAGGAGTTCGAAGATGTTGAGGCAATACATGTAGTCCAATGCATGCATGGACCGCCGATATGTGTGCGCTTCGTAGCTTAAAGTATTCGCATGCCTATGGGAGGGCTGGGTGGCGTTGGTCATCATCATGATTGTTCATGTTCGCAAGCTTTGATCTTGAAAGCTTGCGAGACTCCATAGCTAGCTGATGTTGAACACCACCACCGCTATTGAATACAGTTGTGGTACTTCATTTTGCGCTTTTCGATACACCCAGTGTGTCGGCGCGTTTCCCGAGGAACTCTTGGGGCCACTAGCAGGTGGCTTTGGAGCCAGTCTTCCCTTTCCCGTAGTGTTGGCTCTGCCTTCGTTGTTTTTCATTTCGAGCACTACAGCAGTATTGTGGTTTGACGCTCGGGTATCATTTTCTTGTCATCCCCCGCAAGAAAGCCTTGACATATGAAGTTCCGTTGTTGCGGTTCAGGCCAGCAGATGCAGCTAAAGCAGTTTCACGCGTCATACTGCTGTTCGCCAAAACTGGATTGATTCGGTTGCCCAACGCCATGCTTGCTTTCAAGAGTAGCAGCGGCTCTTTCGGAAGCAGCAGCTAGACTCGACATTAAGCCTGTTTGTTTCGTAAAACCTTTGGGCTACAACCCAAGAGTGATGCCACCGAAACCCGATTGTCACGTTAAGAGGTTGAGCGGGATTGGTCTGGTCGGCGAAAATCCGACCGTTATCCCCATGGTCTTAGGATGTTAAATCATTGTTTCAGAACATTTGTAACCACGAGAATTGCAAAAGGTATGGAGAACGCACCACTCTACTGACACTGCCGCCCCTCTCCCCCACGCCTACCGTAGGTTGCATAAGATATCACACTTTCAGTAGATACCACACCCCCTCAGAAAACGTACACAGTACCACACCCGTGTGCTATTTTTTTCAACCCCGAAAAAAGCGTCATTTTATCATAGCGTTACATAAGATACCACACCCTGAAGTTGTCCGCATATTAACGACGGGGCCCCCGCTTATCGCACGGTGTGACAACGAGAGGGCATGAGATCACAAGCAACAACCTACTCGCAAAGGCCGTGGAGGCCAACAATGCCGTGGAGGGTGGTGCAGTTAGCAACCCTGCTGAAAGCCCCGCGGCTCAGACTGCAGTGGGTAAGACTCCAGCGGCGGCCCCGCGCTCCAAAGCGTCCTTCTTTCAACCCGCCCCGCGGGAACGTGGGGCTGCTGGGACGACTGCCTCAGTAGCCGCGCACGACACCGACTGCTGAGGCCTTCCCAACAGAATCTACCGCTGCTGAGACTCCCACAGCACCGGCTGCGCCTACCACCGCGGGTGCCGCTGAAACCTGCGAAGCAGAACCTACTGCTGAGACTCCCGCAGCACCCACACCCGCACCTGAAGGGGCAGCTCTCCCGCCAACCACCAACACGCTGAGCGCGGCTACTGCTGAGAACCCTGCAGTAGCACCGCGCTGCGGAGGACCATCGTGCAATAACAAGCCCTTGTTATCACACGCCCTTTAAGCCGGGTCCTGTGAGCGCGCTTCATCACACGGGCGACGGTATCACACCCCATTGTTATCACACCCCCTGTTGGTGGGGCTCTGTGAGTGCACTTTATCACACGGGTGACATAAGATATCACACCCCCTACAGAATACCACACCTGTGTGATAACGATTGTCCCCCCGAAAACGTTATCAGACGGGTGCAGCATCTCATGCAACCTACGGTATTGACCGCTCCATCTCCCGCAAACGCGAATCTCCTGACATGTACAGTACCCTGGATACCGTGGTTTACAAAGCAAGGCACCTTTTCCACGTAGCAGCTGTGGATCTTGCACATCAAAACCGACACCTTCATCCTACGAAGGAACCGCCACGCGAAGCAGTTTTCATGGCATGCTTTCCCTGCCCATTCTGCTCTTCTGATTCCCGTAGGTCGATGCGTTCGTAAAAAACGAAAAAAAAAAAAAATTATATATAACTTCCTCTATATCATAAGTTAGGGTGCCTAAATTTGTACAGGCCCTTAACCGTGTCCGATCTGTTTTTCGATTTTTTTGTTGAAATCTTCGGAGTTTTTTTAGCAAGAAACCTTTTTTGTTTTATGCATGCGCCACCCCGCGTGCATGAGCGCCCGAGAACAAACCAGTCGGCCTGACAAAGGCCGTATTTTGCATGTATTCTGCCCCCTCCGACCAGGCGGGGGCGGCGGGGCAATGACAAAAACAAGATAAAAATACCAAGAATTATCCCTGACCCTAAACCTAGCCCCCCCTCTACTCAACGATCCATGTCGCGCCCCCTATACTAAAAGCAGTATAGTAGTGAACCACACTAAAACCAAGACACTTGGATGTCACACACTAAAACCAAGACACTTGGGGGGGAATCCTTGACAACCCCGGCTGAATGCCCATCGCAATTTCTACCGCCATGGCATAGCGCCTACCAACCGATAATTCGGTGCCCCTATTGCGAGGTGGTGTGCTGGGGGGCGATTCCATCGCTAGAGTGAGTAGTGGGCCGGTAGGGCACTAACATTAGATGGTTTTGAGAATTTTGTCGAGAATTCTCGAAAAAAATTGAAAAAAAATTCTCAACAAATTCCCCGAACAGGCCAAAATAGGGTATATAATATTAGGTACAGAAATAGATGTTCGTTTTTTTTTTTTTTTTCTATCGCTTCTTCTTTGTAATACCTTTCTTACAAACCCGACTATGCTACCATCACCAACACGGTTGCACCAAGACAATATATTGCATTTAGGTACCCTAACTTATGACACAGAGGAAGTATTAAAACACTTCATGCACACGGCGCTCACGAACACTGCTCGACGAGTGCCCTCTGCGCGGGCGGATCGGAACCAGTGGTCGTCTTTTGGATGGCTTCTCGTTGTAGCTCCTTCCATCCGTTCATTATTCGTGCAGAGCGTAAACGATCAAGTGAGTCGGCAGGGCAGCTTCTTCCCTGTAAACTACTACTTCGGGATAGTTCAAGGCCGGCCCTCTCTGATAGCCGCAAGCGCATGTGAGGACAGCATGGCAACAGGGAAGAGTAGAACAGAACACGGACGGAGGTCGGATACAGCGGAGCGAGCGGGTGCAGATGAGACAGACAGTAAATTAGCATGCTACATGGTCTGGTGGCGACAAAAAAACGCCATTTGATGAGGCTCTGAGACCCGAGTGAAACGACCCACCTGCCACCACAATCAAAAACGAGTTGACTATGTTTCGTCAATCCCAACATAAACTGAGCGAGCGGCATGCTCGCGCAATACGGCGCCGTTCCGAACAGACAGATAGGATATTATCAAGCGACAACGTCCTTGGCAAACACTACCATTTCCGTGTTTTTCTCACCTCTCCCACAACGGAGTCAAACCCAAGCGGGGGGCATTGTTCCGGAGGAAGCTTGCCTTCGTAGGTGTTGAAGGCCCTGCCCACGGTCACGCTTGACAAGAACATGCACCGCACCTTCTTGCCTGACCGGTTCGTCTACCCCAACAACGTCAGAGTTAGGAGGCAACGGAATGCATCGTGTGATTTGCGAGTCAGGGTGAAACTGCGTGAGCCACATGGAGCGAAGTGCACCTGGTGCAGATATGATATGACCATCTTTGGTGATGGAAGCAGTTGGACAATCAAAAGCAAACGTCGATTCATTGCACGCACCACTTGGGGCTCTTCGAGACAAAAATCCTTGATAGCGAGGGATGAGACGAAAGACAACCAGCTGAGTTGGTCACGACAGAGCAACGCCGCAACAACACGACGGACGAAGACAAGACAAACAGGAAGCTTGGTCGCAGGCTGCGTGACATGCAACCCTCGGTTCATTTTCGCCCGTTGACGCGCTGTTCTTCATCTGCACTAGCGCAGGTTCCTGCTCTTGTAGATGACTAGAGCAACGTCTGCGCAAAGACACCACCAGAACCAAACCAGCGCAACGTCTACGACCAGACCATATCTGAGATGAAAAAGCCTCAGCAAAGATTGATCTTAGTTATCATCGGAGAGAGTCTCTGATCGACTGATGCATCGGAAATGCGACCTACCCACCGCCCATTACACCAAAGGCCGCGAGTCCAGAGCAAAGTCAATCCTCCAAATTCGAAGCTTTACCTTCTCAGACAGCTCGGCGTAGTCGTTGGCCTTGCCAGAGACGCTGCTGAAGTACAGCCCGTCTCCGTAACGCAGGTCGAAGTTCGTGCGCCTCGCCGTGCCCCCAACGTTGTCTCTCAGCTGGAAACCGTGCGTGCAGATGTTGCAGACTTTGCAGGTGGACTCTCCGCACGGCCCACCCTGGCACAAAAAGGCGACAGGGGGCGATACATCGCGAATACACAACCATTGTTCTTTGTCACGTTTACCGCGGAGCTCCTTGCCATGGGGAGACGAGCACAAGGACAGGAGAGGGACATTCGCTTCTACGAAGCTCTAGTATTAGAGAGCAAACCAGCGAACCAGCCATACTTGACGGACACAAGTCCCCCCATCCATGCAATATTGAGAAGGCCACTCTCCTCGTCCTCTGTCGGTCTTCGAGCCGTGCATGTAGGTTGACGGTGGGAAGTCATATGCACACCAGTGCTTCCGACAACTTCGACACTGGCGCCAAGAGGTGCTGACTTTCTCTGAACAATTGCTCGAAGCAGTACCACCAGCAGCAGCAGCAGCAGCAAAGCTGGTGTCACGAGCATAATAGCACCGAATAAATTGCCTATCATGCCTCTCAGCCAAACTATGCCGCACCCACTAGTGCGGCCGAAGTTCGAGCCATACACAACTTTGTTTCGGGCACCTGTTGGTGAAAGGGATAGGTTTATACCTGAAAGGTAAAATTTCACAATATGTAACAATGGCTAGTTTCCGTAATATAATCGCATGTTCTCAGCCTGCTTTCCGCGCTTCCACACCGCACCGTCATGCGGGAGGGAGAATGCAACGTCCTGACCAAGTTACAGCTGCCTCATCCAAATCATAACCCATCTTCGATTTCGTCCACTCCTGCAGACGTTAACAAGCGCTCAACCCAGCCCACAACCGAACCCAACCAACTCGAAATTCGACTCACCCTCAGGTCGACAAAGAAGGTGCACATGTTCGAGCACGAGGTGCCGTGGAATCGCCGCTGGACGTTTCCAACTTGTCCCATGTAGGTTTCGGTTCGTCTTTGGATATCCTTCGGCACCTGGCGGTGGCGCCGCGGAGGCGGGGCGATGCCGTTACAATCGGGGTGATCCCGAACGCCAACAGCTAAGCCATGTGGCGATACTTCAAGTAGTATCGCGACGATCTCCTCAAGGCGCGTTGCAGGTTGAGGCTGTAGCCGCGATCTTTTCGTAACAAGTGCTTCCCGCCTTTGTCGGCGACCCTCAAAGTGTCAACAACCTAAAAGGTTGAGTCGAATTGGTGCATGCGCACCAGACCCGGCAAACGAACGAACACACCCTCAACTGGTGTTCGTAGTAGCGTGACTCGTGGCTATCATCAAGTCTTTCTGCGAATGGGACTGGATGAAAACGTTCTGGGTGAGGTCCACACTTCGGTGATCGTGTTGGAAAGCTGATGTCCTTGCATGTTTCGACCGGATACCCCGATGGTTTCATTACAAACGAACAGAAAACATGCACACACGCGCACCTGGACCTTGAAAATTCTCAAGACAGAGACGCCAGTGCCCACGAGGGGCTTCTCCCACTTCTGCATGAACTGCTCTTTCCGACTGAGATACTCCGGGTGTCGGTTCGTTAGGACGCTTAGCTGAAAGTCGTCGGCGCTGGTGGTGCCGCCCCGGAACGTGCGATCGACAAAAGGCTCCGGGTTCGGCCCCTGCGGTGTGGTTTCGCCAAGGGTAAGCCGAAGGCGAACGCCCGAGGGAGAGGGTGGTGAATACCAACGTTTCGATGACGGGAGAGGGGGGCACCACTAACGGAGATGTACGGGAAAGGTGCGCTACCCGAAGCGACTTCCCAATATTAGGTTTTAGACGAAAAATGTGGATGTCAAGACATGAGGTCAGACAGGTAGAGGCGCCCATGTCCATACAACTGTACCGGATAGATCTCCGGCTGTCGGCGACGAAGGCGCTACATGTAACAAGGAGGGGCACGCCTGTACAACAGGATGTCTGCTAAGCATGGACGCAATGATTCCCCCACCAGCCACCCCGGCTCCCTCCTCTGCGGCCAGCGAGTTCTGCAGCTTTGACAGATCGAGTGCTAGGGTAGCCACCGCCGCAACGTAGGCCCGCATGTGATAAACAATCACCTCTTCCCACAGTCTGCACTCACCAGGGAGCGCTGGGTCGCGCGAAGCCGGTGGTCTTCGCAGCAGTATCCCGTCTCCTGCCGATCGCGCGGGTGGACGAAGTTGGGTTTGACGCACCCAGGTAAGGAGCACACGCCAACACCCACGAGGTGTTCCATCCCGACCTCGCCTGCGCACCAGCTTCCGCAGTAATCCAACACGCCTCCCGTGCCTTCGTCCACCCAGGCAGCCCTGGCACATCACGCACCAAAATGACTTGAACAAAAATGAAGAAAAACTGATCCACGGAGAGGGTTTGCGACAGGGGCACGCAAAGAATACCAAGAACATCGCGCGCCATGTCAGTGGAAAGCTCGTCGTTTCTTCTAACAGGATTACCTGCTGCAGCCATCGCGGATACATTCCCTGTTGAGCATGGCCGTTCCCGCCACATAGTGCCCGTTGCTGCAGTACTTGGAATCCTGAGTGGTTTTCACGGAGCGTACTTACAAGCTCAGAACATTGCCAACTCCGTCCAAGCAGTGGAACATGGCCGAAGTCGAACGGCACATCGAATGGACGACCCGTTTGTTTCACTCGTACCACCAAGAAGAGCAGTAGAGGCCACCACGCCAAGTGAGTGTAAGCGCACGCTAACAACCCACAGCGCGCCCTCTGCAGTCCATGGGTAATACGGCGTATGATAGCAAGGAATGTTTGAAAACCGGCGAAAGATTGTCTCAGGAGAGAATCGACCCGTAATATTGGCTATTCTGTCGGCCATGACTTTCGCTGACAGTCTAAAAGAACGCCGCTTGCAAGACCTATTCGCTTGGATGCAAAAATGGATAGAATGTCCCACACCCTGCACCCGAGAGGACTTTTTAGTCCGGGCATGTGTACTACTTTGTTTTTCGGCTTCTTTCTCATTGGCATTCCCCGCTCGCGCGATTTATTGCCCCAACAGACTACTGCGGCCCCCCAAATACTCTACGAATCAACTCTGATGACATCTACATGCTGTAGGCTTTCGACCCTAGTGTCACATGCGATGCCGGGAAACGAAAAGAAAATGGTGCGGTCACGGAAGTCACGCGTGCTCATACTTCGGACGCCACAATGGCCACCCAAAAAACGTGGCAAGGTATCTAGTAAACGCTTGGTCAGGTGCGTGCCAAGCAAGATGCTCTGGTGAGCCATCCGACGGGCACAATCGGCATCTACGCAAGATGGGCGAGCAAGTTCACCATCACCGTCATTTCGTGGGCAGAGAGCGGGTAAGGCACTGGATATTTCTCCTAACAAGACGTGGCTGTTGTCCTTGTCTCGCTTCCGCGATTCCTCTCGACGTTCGCTTTCACAAGACAAGTCACCATAATGCCGGCGGAGCGGCGGTTCCTTGCAGGGCCTTCCATACCACATCTTCTCCAGACTGTCATGCACCATGTCTCACCACTTTCGTCACAGGGTCACGGTAGACCAATTCGTTGCAGCCCTCTAAACTGCACTCTGCAGTGCCCTTTTCGTGTGCAGGTGCTCCTTTTCCTGCCCCCGTCCCGCGAGACAGCGACGACGTCTCTCCGTTGGCCATGGCCTCGTTTGCGTGGCTGCGGCCGCAGAATTCGTGCACGCGGCCCGAACTTTCGTCGATGAAAACGGTACGAGAACAGCCGGCCAGCTTGCATCGAGAGCCCTATATGGCAAACGGGGCGATGGCAAGGGGAGAGAGCAAGTGCGGGGAGAGAACGGCAGCGGTGGCGGCGACTCTCTTATGCAAAAAGTACATGGCATTTCATGCGTACCTCGAAACACACAACCTCTTGAGCAGCAGTCTAGATGGGGAATGGGGCGGGAGTATCTGAACCCGAGCCTGGTTCACTCGGCCATTGGTTGAAGTCTCGGATACAATGCTCTTCGAAACGGGGAAGGCGAGGGGTGGCCGGTGGCGGGTAGACCGACGGTTTACATCGGAGTGGTAGAGGTCGCTTAGAGATACAAGAGAAAATCGTGGTCAATACTGATGCTACAGTTGCTACAGGGGTCTACGGTGCGGGGCCTTCACGGCAGGTGCTGTGGTTTGTGTGCCCGCACACTCGTTCTCTGTGCCGTTCACCGTTGAGTACACAAGAGAATGTCAACGATGCCGTAGCGTTGTGTATCGTCGTTTACACCACAAGACAGCAGCGTAGACCTGCATTTGCGCCAACCAGAACCTCCGCAATGCATGCCGTGAACACCTTTCCGGGGAAGGACTAAATATTCTACAGAGTAAATATTCCATCCGATGAGTAACATTGTGCTTTCCCATCTATCGGGCCCCTGGGGTAACATCTCCCATCTGGCATTTACATCCCTACGGACGGAAGGCGATCAGTGAAGAATACGCTGCGACACGACCGAGGACCAAAGCCCTAACGGGTAGGGTAGCTCGAGTGCTAGCATAGTATTGACTGTTAGTACGTACTGAGCATAACTGGAGGGCACGTTAATGGTTTTTAGGGGGTGAGGTAATAACCAAGTCCCCCTGTACCACCGGCTGAATCGTACAGACGCTGGTCTCTAGCCCGAAGATGCTGACAACAACACCCGCAGCGATGTGGGGTCAGTGTCTTCTCGGGGAGTCACAGAGGCGAGAGCCTCACCGACTTACTTGGGTCACCGCGAAGTGGGGGTAAAGAGGTTTTCCATGCTTTCCGGGGAGCAAAAAAAAAAAAAAAAAAAAGACATTCCGCGACTACATGAACACGGTCTTCGCATTCGAAGCCGCAATCNGCATTAACAGTAGTGTGAGAGCAGGCGAAATCAGAGCCTTTCATTGAACCGGTTGGTCCCGTCAACGAAATCGCGCGCGCTGATGTCTCCTACTACGCTGTGTACTGCTGTACATGCACTACCACGGAGGCCCGTAAGGTAGACCTGCTGGTTGGAAGTGACTGCTCGAAACGGTGATGGGTGTGAAAACAGCAGACAATACAGCTGCAACAGGCTGTAACATACATCCTGTCTGCTGTCCAACAATCCTCCCGCTGCTGACTCGCTGGTTGTCGGCGTCCCCTGCCACACTCGCTCGTGGCAGTCATTCCTGAGTACTGCAGATGTAGAACAACTTCAACATGGTACGAGTCTATTCAAAATTGGGCGCCACAAGTAGCGGTACCGTCAACTTTGCACGAATTCGCGAACCCAGAGGGTATTTTTATCTTACCTGATGCTTGTCCGCCACAAGTAGCAGTACCGTCAACTTTGCAAGTGTTCGCGAACCCTGAGGGTGTTTTTATCTTACCAGGTGCTTGTTCTGGTGTGTGTAATTAGTGTACCTCGTACACTACACAAGTGGTTCAGCCGTTCTTGATAAGCAAGATGCTCTACCAAGCACCTCGCCCACCCTTTACAGCAGTGGTACCGTATGTAGCTGCTCACATCGGACCCTCCGCCCATGTTTCGAGAGGAAGATCGAAGTGAAGCCCATTTCGCCCTCGCTAAAGCCTCATTTGAACATGTTCGCGAGCAGTAGCTGTGGACGAAGCCATCTTGGTCTTCGAAGCAGGGTGACTGGCAGTCGGGCAACGCGCACAGCCGGCGGTGCGTGCCGGCGAACATCGCCATGTTTCGGAAACCGACGGCGACGCCTCTCCTCTAACGTGGCGCGCCAACGACCCTCCCTAGACGATAGGCCCAGAAGGGTGATGAGGTGGCCGTGGAAAAGAGACGGGGGGGCCGCCCCACGGACAAAAGGCGAGTATCTTGAGACCAAGCCAGAAGAACCTCAAGATGGGAATCGGCCCCCGCAGCCCGCCTTTCCGCCGGAGAGGAATATATATAGTTTCGAGGCTGGCCTCTTGGTCTCTTAATGGAGGAAAAATCTCACAGTCCCGCCAGTTAACACCGACACGGACATGCGGTGTGCACGTGTGCTTTGCTTGTGTGCTTGTGTGCTTACCACGGACCTCGGACCACGAAGCCTCCACACACCGAGGATCAAGCTGGCTCCTTCGGTGGGTTGATCGCGTTGCGAACCGAACGGTGATATTCTACGGCGCTGGTGCCGACGACGTAGATGTTTGGGGGTTGGTTGGGCAGGATACGTTCCAACGTTCCAACATGCACGCCCCTACAATTTGTACCAAGTGGTGTGGTGGACTTAAACCCTTGGTGGTATGCTACACACTGCAGTCTTTGTGATCCAAGGGCTTCGACCTCGAGCAACGTCTGTAAGCTCTACCAGCAATATATACAACTCGCGCACGATACCCACTCCGCGCTCGTTTGGCATGTACTGCTGTATGATGCATTCAAACACAAAAATCTTGGTCCCGGTGCAACGGTCCGCACAACAGGGTCACGAAATGTCATAACCGCTTTTGAGGGCATCACCGCGAAACCGGATTGGCAGTTATATGGAAGATGTTTGACTTCCGAGGTGCAGCAGTGCCACGAGAGATTGGAACCGCTTTTCAGGGTACCCCGCTAGATAGGGAGCGCTACACCGGGAACCACTACTGCAGGAGATGCATATTTTCGGCACGTTCATAAACACCAGGTACTTTGTCTTATCCAGCTCACCGGTGGGGTAGATAAGCCTAAAACCCCACTAGCTGTATGTTGCCCTGCAAGACTCGAAGCGACACAGGACATGCACCAATGTGTTGCTGCGTTGCAGGGCTATCATGGGACCCTTCGTGAAGCTGAAACAGTACCAGTTTTGGTGCTGCCATGGCTAGTGGGGGAAGTTGCACAGCTACTACACCCAGCTGGTGGGGGTACATGGCCTTGCCTGCCCCACCACCTTAACCCTACAAGACGCTGATCGACGGCAGGAGTGTGTGGTGGACTCACATACACCACACAGCAGCAGACAACAGGCGAGGAGGCGAACAGGCCTGGTAGTCCACCGCACAATGCCAAACACATCAAGTGGGGAACGTACACTGCCTTTTCTCTACTTGAAGGCAGGCTCCCTTCAGCACGCAAGAATCCCGCTGCTGTGTTTGCCCAGTAGGACTCCGATCGACGAAGGACATGAACAACTGTGTTAGTGTGCGGTAGGGTTGTCGTGGGGCCCATAATAAAAAGCCCAAAGAGCTCCGTTTTGGTCCTGCCACCACTGGTGGGGCAAACGACGGCAGGGCCCACCCGTACGGTAGAAAAATACCCCACCACCTAGATCTCAACCTACTAGACACGAATCGCAACACCTGTGTGTTTGATGAACGCTCAGCACACACCATCGGGCAGCAGTCAGGAAGGGGTACAGGTTGGGGGGGACAGATCAAACAACTCCTCATGACAGCCTCAATTTCGTGAGGTGGAAACTGTAGAAGTGCCTTCTCGAATCTTGCAGACAGCAAGCAGCCCATCACCCCGGCCCGTTGACGAAGCCATCTGTTCAAATTCGGTAATACCGGCTGGAATGATGGTTACTCCTCACGATCTAGTTTCGGCAAAGGTCGGTGCCAGATAGGTTGTCCATTATATGCTAGATTGTTTTTGTCCTTCACGCACGTTCGCGTGACGCGCGTTGTACGAAACAATCCCGACCGTACACTGTTCGCACCACACTGCCTCGAGAGATCATGCAGAAAGACAGATCACATGTATATTGTGCATCGCGCGTTGTTCTGGAAGTCTTGATCGACTCCTTCGTTTCGGTTTCGGATTGGAAATCCAATTGGTCCGTTGGAAACTACATAATGCTGTAGCAAACCAATGACCCAGGTGCTGTATTGAAACCACGGAGCCTCGCTCGAGAGAGATCTCTCTGTCGTGTCTTGTGTCGAAACTGAATGGACGTGCACGGAGAGAATACCCCCAACAAGCGGGGTATTCATCTGGCTTGTCTACCTCCCTCGTGGGGTATTTTGACATGCCGCATTTTTTTCTGATAGAAGGGAGGAGAGTCGTGGGTGCGCAGCAAGTCTCACGAACCAAATAGATTGACTGGGCCCTACAATAGGGCCGTCCCCGATGCACATTTACTTTTACGCAGTCGTGGAGAAATTGGTAGCTTTCAACCAACTAATCTTCGCTTCTTCGACTTCTCCATCTCATAGTCCCTTGACGGACATGCACTCCCCTCTGTCACTTCAGACGCAAGGAGACAGCGTGCCAGCTTTGGGGTTGTACGGAGCAGCGAGTTCGCGAGGAGGACGTGGTGCACAACTTTTGCAGTCGGGGTGATGCGCAGCTAGCTTTGTGTCAACTGCCGGGTTGCAAGGAACCGGTTTATTACAATCCTCATGCTGGCAGGGTGCGTTAGTTGTGCTGATACTCGCGCTGCTCGTTTTCTCCTTTCATTCTACCTAGTACAGAGGAGACAACAGGCGTGTTCCGTTTCTAGGGCGGTGGCCTCTACGACGGATGCTACTGCTGTACGCCTCTCCAACCATTGATCAACTCACCTGGTGGAACCCGACAACGTGATGGTCTGGGCAACACTTGCCCCCGAGGAACATCGCGTGACACATCACTATGTTCTGGTCGGAGATGAATGGCGACCAGGAGGCAGACGGAAGCCTCTGCCCGACACGTCCTTCAAGAGATAATCATTCGAGACTTTGTTGACCCAAAGAGGAGAAAGTGTGCATTCTCGTGTCAGAAACCTGGCCAAGAGGTACCGTACAACTTGTGTACGGTTCGGGCGGAAGGAACAATTCCCTCTGCCTGCGTGTTTGCTACAAGCGTCGGAGTACTGCAGCATAAAGCATGTCCACGAGGCCAAGAGCCAAGAGTGCGCGCGCAGCGAGTGCTCCCGGTGAGTGAGTGCCCTTCCAGCATGAAGTTGTGTGTTGCTGCATCGACCACCCTTCCCAATCTGGGTTGATTTGCGTCGATCTACAATACCTTGGTACGGATATCTCCATGGCGCAACGTTTCCTGGCACACGCAAGGCTACCTACTGGCCGAGGTGCAGCAGCATACCTGGTTTGCTTGTCCCCTGTGTTGCTGTTGTTGCTGCTGATCTGCACGCGTTTCCTATCGCAGCCAGTGATGCCGAGCGGTGCGGGGAGGTGCTACATTCCTGTTATTCATGGAAACTTTCCACCCGTCCCCCGCCAATCCCGACCTAGCGCATGACCCAGGACGGCGTTCCTTGCAAACACCGCCGGGCTGCAGTTCTGCAGCCGTGCCTGCGTCAACGAGGCGCTCGGTGAGACGACATCGACAGTGCTGAACCAACACTTGATAACGAGACGAACTGCGGACTTCATGGCTGCCAGCAAAAACCTCTGCCCTGTGGGGCGTGGCGATCCCTCCGCTTCTGCTCTGAAGCTCACTGCATCCTTTTCGTGAGTCAAGAACAGTTATGTTCAACAATGCCCCTCACAACCTTGAGCGCGTTGAGCAGATTGCCACAACGCGACAGTGGGGTTGAAACGCGCCCCCTCACATGTACGTTAAACACGAGATGCTAAGCGCTTACTGGAGGATGTCAGCCACGCTTCAGTCACGCTCGGGCACTCCATGTACAGGCCATCCGTGTTGAACCTCTCATACCGCTGCGTTAAAATTTCCTGTCAGGCCTTGTCGAATATAGGCTGGATTCGTGTCGCGAGAGCCAAATGTTCGTCCTTGGCAGAATCAGGCCGCTGTCCGTCCTTGAAACAATCCTGCCCTCTCATTCCACGCCATGGTTGTGCACGCGCGCGCGCAACGAACCAACGAACCATAACAGGTTCGGCGGACGCCCGTCCCATTCGGACAACCGAGCGCAGATTCGTATACAACGCAAGTGGTAGTTTCTCGTGACAACACGTCCACACTCGAGCTGCACTTCCTTGATCAGATTGTGAACCGAACAGGGGCGATTTCGACGGCTATGGGGCCGAAACGCAAGTGTCGGAGTGGTCGGGCTACAGCAGTACTTGAACAAGATCGTATCGTGTCGGTTGCATCTAACAACTGGCTTTATCGCGCGCACAGAGGGGCGCGGACTCAACGACCCTGTGCATACTCAGTGACCCCTGTACGGGAAATCGAACGAACGTTGGCTTGCCCGTCTAGCGTGCATCCCACTGCGATCTCTCTGACGCGTAGCTTAGGAGGTCACCCCGATGCGGCGTAAGTGTTTTGTTGGATGCTTGTGAACGAACGCGGTTTGTAATACACCCCGATAGTGTCCTGTAGTAGGCTTTGTGTTCATCAAGATCCTTGTGTTTGGAGCGCACTGCTGCATTGTGATACCCAGGGCTGTAGAGCCAGGATGACACACTGTGAGACGAGTACATACACCGTTGCAGCTCGGGGTGCCCGCCCCCTGAACCTCACGCGAGTTCGCACCAATAACTGTTGCGACACCTGAGTTCAAACTGGCTTTATTTTCTCTGGGGTAAGATGCAACCGACCCTGTGCGAACTCGCTGCCCTGTGTGACCTCACGCACTTTTACAGTACTCCCCTCCCGTTATTTCAGACGCAACGAGACAGGGTGCCAGCTACGAGGCTGCACGGAGACGCGAGTTCGGGAGCAGGACATGTTGCGCAACTTTTGCAGTAGGGGTCATGCGCAGCTGGCCAAAGCCCGCGGAGAGTGGCCGCCCCATGCTAACAGGGGGTCATCGATGTATCAACTGCCGAGTTGTGAGGAATCCGTTCATTGTGATCCTGATGCTGGTAAGGTACGATAGTTCTGCAGCTCGTGCTACTCAGTTTACGCAGGGCATTTTACAGTACTTTGGGTACAAAGGCAACACCGGGCGTCTTGCGTTTCTAGCGCTGTGACTTCCAGGACGGATGCT